CACTCGAATAGGGATCTGTATGTTAAGCCACAGAGACCTGGGGCTGGAAGGGAGCTCCAGCTTCCTGCCCTGAGGTGGCGTCATCCCTGTCCGGGCTCTCCGCAGCACTGCCCTCCACCCTGATGCCACACGGACCAAACACACTTGCCTGCCATGGGGGAAGCCCTGCAGCCAGTGTCCTGCTGCTGTGGGGATATGCTTGGGGTACCCATGCCCCTGCCACCCTGGAAGCCAGAAACCTCCACAGTCCATGTCAGTCTGATCACGGGGTAAAACTCCTTCCTATCTCCTTGCAGTCAGTCTGACTCTGAGCAGAGGGGCAAGACCCTCTAGCCAGGAACCTCCTGTTTTATTCCTAGCAGGAGCCTTGCCACATCCCAGTGAAAGTGCCCAGCCCTGGCTGCAGCCAACACTCAATGCCTGAGGCAGGTTTAAAAACACTAACACAGTAGTAGTGGGGGCAATTAGCAAAGCCCAGAAGCATGGGAAGTAGCATTCAGCCCTGGCGGGGGGGGTGGCTTGCTGAGCTCTTTGCAACAGAAGAATTGCTCTAATATTTTTCTGCATCCAAAACCCCCCCAAGTGAAACTGAAGACCTGGCATTTTCTGAAGGGGGGGGGGGGGCGGCATGTGGCTAAAAAAAACCCTCCTTGAGAACCACTGATTTAACCTGGCCTAGCTTGGGAGTGCATGACCTTGTGTGGGCAACAACCTGCTCTTTTCTGCAAGTCCATTTGTAGCATCTGACAAAAGATTTATTTTTTTCCCCTTGTCCCTTTTCCTTCTATATAAAATAATTTATTTCTGGCAGCCCATTTACTGCCTCAAACAAAGTGGGTTGTTGCTTGTGGCCCCTGCTACACGTTGCATATATTAAACAGTTAACTGGTGAATCTCATAATGCATTTAAGCTGGCCATATGTGCAAAATAATTCTCATACAGTTAACTGGTTAAGCATGTAGTAAATTAAGGCCAGCCACATGTGCAAAGGAATTATCACACTATAAAAAGGACTGTCCAGCTATAAACTAGCCAATCAGTTATGAAGTTAGTACTTGAAAATGTGTAACAATAGTATAGCTGGTTTCTGTCCAGCTTTAATTTGAAGGGGTGGCAGGACCCTGTGAAAGCTCATGTCTCGCTGAATTAGTCTCTAAGGTGTCACCTTGCCCTAGCTTCTGCCTGATTTAACATGGCTAACCACATCTTGAGTCTGCCCTATGTCTTGTGAGCTGTAGGATTTTCCTAAATTCTTGTGTGAGCAAAATATTTCTGAAACGCTAGTTTTCATTTTTAAATGGCTAGTAATAAAGAGTCTACCATGTTCTTTGGTAAATTATTCAGTGCTTAATTAACCTTAGTGTAAAAGATTTAGGCCTTATTTCTAATCTAGATTTGTACCATCCAACTCCTCTTACCTGGAACTGTTTTACCTTTTGCTTGCTAGACTGATTGCCAAAGGTACATGTAGGTCATGATCAATTCACACTTTAACCCTGTTTCTGAGTTGCTTGATTTTATTTTTTTTTGCTGCAGAGACTATTTTCCTTGTTCAGGCTTTTCTCTAAATTCTCTCCATCTTGCATCCTTTAGTCCAGAATCTCTGATGTTAAATGATTGACAGGTTTGAGCCTTGCAGACATTTTTGCAGAATAAACAGGTTATTCACATTTTTGCATGTGTGGCAATGTTCCTAACTTTTTGTTTTGTTTTGGTAAGATGTTCTGTGAAATTAGCTGTAGATGTGACAAACAATTGTCTCGATCCACACATCTAATTTTAATACTTAATAAGCTTGTCAGACAAGTAATCCCTTATCTGGTGGCACAGAGTGGCCTAATACTATTTTTATTTTCTCTTCTCTTGCTAGGCTTGAGTTTGGAGAAGCAGATTTTGTTGCACTTTGTGACATTTTAAAAGTTTCAGATGTCATAAGAACAAGTGCGTGGAAGACGTATGAAAAAGTGTCATCTGTGGTTGGATCTCTAGTGAGTACTCGGGAAAGCTAATGCTCATGATAATATTGTAGTAGTGGTACCTATTCCTTGATTCCAAGTATTATATTTGTCTTTGCTTGACTTGACATATTTTTACAGCCATTCTGGGAAGCAAATGATTCAGAATTAAGTCTGAGAGCTCAATGTTGCCATATCACTTTTCTAATGAAGATTTTTACCCAAATCAAAATGTACAAATGCTGTTGTATTCATGACTGTATATAGTAAAATGCGTAGTCCCCCCTTTTTTCTATATAGAAAAACTGCTTTATATCTATATCTAGAGATCTCTGCGTGTGTGTGTGTGTGTATGTGTGTGTGTATGTATATGTATGTATGTATGTATAAAGAGAGAGAGATCTGTAGATATATATCTATAGATAAATAGTGCTGGTTTTAAATGCTGTCTCGGCTGTCCAACTGTCCCGACTGCTGTTTATTTTACATAACTTTACGGTACTGAGTGTATGTGTGCAACACTGTGTCTACACTGCAGCCGAAGGTATGACTGAAGCATTTGTAGGCGTACCTGGGATAATTTTAAAATAGCTGTCTTAGGCATTGATAGTGGTATAGTGATGACAGCACAAAGAACAGTACAGGATACACACCCATGTCCTCCACAGCATTTATAAATGCTTTGAGTGGGGCTTGCAATCTGTGCTGAGCCCCCAGCTACTACAACTAAACTGCTATCAGTATCCAAGCTATCTAGCTCATTTAAAGTTAATTCGGGTATATCAGTAAGACCTCTAGTATCATTTCTGTAGTGTGAAAATTCCCTGAGGTCTTCCCCACACCTCCCTCTGCCCTTCTTCCCCACTCCCTAAAACTGCTGGTACCCAAAAGAATGTTCCTTGCCTTTAAAGACTTTGCAAACAATTTTTCCAGCAGTCTTAGCAGTTAATTATTGCATCTCTTTGAGCAGATGGATATTGGAGCCATTTACCATAAAAGTCCTTAGATGGTGGAGCAGCAAAGACTGCTTCCAGTCAAGGTGGGATTTTCTGAAAATGCAATTTACTAATCACTAGCAGTTGCTGATGGTCAGGGGTAGAAGTTGACACCTGCTTGGGGTGGGGGTGAAATGCTATAATGGAGCTTAGTTGTGAGCACAGACCACTCACTGCCAACCCAGACTGCCCATGCTTCTGCAGTCACTGCTGTGTTGTAATGGTGCAGCTTTTCTCTGCTGTGTAGGACGAGTCATGCCCCCACATCCCCACCTCATGTCAATACCACAGAAGTGCTCCCCCCCCCCCAAGTTTTTTTTTGGCCACAACTGGCCTGTAGGCCATAGATGGCTGATCCTTGGTCTAGGGACATCTACCTGGGAGAAATTCTGGCACCTTTCCATTCCAGCAGTTGAGTATGATAATAGAGTAGGCTTCACAGCAGCTCCTGGACCTTGCTAGGGATATTTGACTAGTGTTCTTTGTTCTCTTTTTTTTTCCCCATCACACTTCTTATAAGCCCTCCCTTAATTTTTTGATTAGCTAATAGTAACTTGAAGGGAAAGCCTTCAGACTGCTCAGGACTGAAGCTGAAAAGCAAGTAAGTTCTTTTTGCATGCTTCAAAACTTTAGCTTTCAAGAGAAGAAAGACACTTTTATTTATTTATTTTTAGCTAAATATTCTTTAGTTTAGAAGTTGAAACCCTGGTTGGCCCTCTAAAACCAAAAACTTTGAAATACTTACTAAATAAACTTTAAAAACGAAGTCTTCCAGATGTGAATTAGTACAGTGCTATTTTAGTGTCTGGATGCTAGGTGCAACAGCAGACCTGAGATAAACTTCTATCCAATCTAAAATGTTGACCAAACCTTTAAAGATGTGGTAGTTTTACCTCTTATTGCTTTCACCAGAAAACTATGGCAAACATTTGCCCATCCTTGTTGCATAGTGACAGGAATGGGTTGTGGAGGAGACTTCAGATCCATTTTATGGCAGTGCAGTTTACTCCTGACTTAATTAAAACTTGATAAGATTTATTTCCTGCCTCGTTTGAGACTTCACTGATTAGGTCTGTAGAAGTGTTTTATCAAATCTTTCTACCTGAAACCTCATCTCTTCTTTTTCATCAAATCCTAATTAGAAGGGACCTCAAGGTCCAACCCCTTGCACAGATACTGGGTGCATTTATAAACATACATTTGTCTGCTCGATCTCCGGCATGTCAGAGCAGACTCAGTTAATCGGCAAAATGCATGTCAGGGCTGAGAAAATGGTGGCAGTGCGCTTTTGAATTAAAACACCTTTGATGGCATTCATGTTCAACAGTGCACCGTTGCCATTTTCTCAGCACTGCTGTGTATTTTGCCATTTATACAAATGTATGTGCTGCAGCGCCGGGCACTTTTAAAAGCACTTGGTGCTGTGGTGCAAATGTGTGCAAATGCCCACGGTTTGCTGTTCCTAAGCCAGTATCTAAAAATTTGCAAAATAGTTAATGGGGTCTGAAATGATTCTAGGTGATGCAATATGTTAAGTTGGCATCAATCAGCTATATAAACGAGTTAATAAGAAATTTCACATGGATGCCTTATAGGAACACACTTGTAGAAGGGATTATAATCGATACTTGTGCAGTGAAAACTATAATTGCAAAACTTAGAACATTAAATACTGGAACACTGTCATCTCTTATCTACTTTTTCTGCATCCTACAGCTTTTCCAAAAAGATGGCAGTTTTCCACAAATGTAGCATCTCAAAATAGTTTGACATTCTCAGTGATAGATAGCACTGTGTTTTCGTCCCTTTTCCCAGACTACTGCAAACAGTATATCATCTGTTAACAAAGAAGTAATTAAAGTAAGTGGATAACAGTGCTCCCTCTGTAGTTGGACATCTGGGAAAATACTAAGAAGTGCAAGTTTTTAAAAAAAAAAAATCCAACACTAAGAAAATTTAAAGCAGTCTGTGTCAAAAAGAGTAGCCCTGGGTACACATTTCTGCCTTCTCATTCTCAACTTGTTTAGCTAAGAACATCGCTGGCTTTCTTGGCCACTTCTCAGGTCTGGTGTTTTAGTTGAACTTACTACTTACTGGGACTAGAAGGAAAAATCTGGATCTTGATGAAAAAATGAAGATAGTGGGATCAGTGCAGTTTAACTTTCACCAGGATCAAACTTGGGTGTAAATAGCTAAAGCACATTAATACACATGCCAGCACTTCAAGGCATATTAACTCTGTGTATGGACTGATTTGGGACTAATTTTAGTCTCACATCAGTCCATGCATGTGTAGACTCAGGCCTAAATTGCCTTAATGCACATTAAGCTAATGCACTTTAACTTTAGGTGCACCTAAATGCACATGTAGACACGCCCTGTGAGTCTAAGCATAGTGCTGTAACAACTAATATTCTAGTACTCTGAAATCTGTGCGTTTTTAAAGTGAGCAAGCTTTAGATAAGTTCAGCAGTTTGGCTCTTATTATTAAGGCCTTTGTGTGTTTTGCTACCAGAAATCAGTTATGAGCAAAGACTCCATGCAGTGATACTGATTGTGGATTATAAAAATCTAGAGATAGTAGGAGCTCATTTTGAAGGGTTAATGAGCTGTTAGTAGGCCTTAAAGTAAGCTTCAGTTCTTAAATATAGATACGCAACCTGGTAGAATGGAAAAACCTTACTTAACAGTGAAAGTAGAAGACTGGCAGTACACTCGTAAGGGTAAGGATAAATAATGCATTGCACAAAGTGAAAAATGCACAGCTACTTGCTTTGGCATGCACATGCTAAAGCAGCCCGTGAACTTGAGAGCCAGAATTGCTGAAATAGAGATGCAGAAAGTCTGACTGTTCCAGACATAGTGTAGGAGACTATAGAGCAGTGGTTCTTTATCTTTTGAGACTCGAGGCATCCCTTTGTAACTTTTCTGAATTCATTAGCACTTTATTTAAAAAAATAATTCATTACAGTGCATTTTCTGACTAAAGAAAACAATTCTAATAAAGAAAACAATTCTAATAAAGCAATTCTGTTGTAAAGAGTTCAGAAAGAAGTTAGGATGTTTTTGACTCATGTGGATTCCTATTTGAAATCTCTAGATTTATTTTGCAAATCTTGTCTAGATGTTTGCATAACTCAGTGCTAATATTGCATGCCACGCTTAAACAATATTGGGTCACCTCAGGGTGTTGTAGCAATCCTACTGAGAATCTCTGCTATAAAGCAAGTCCATCTCAGATCTGGCTGTTCTCATGTGCCAGCTGAGGAAGTCAGTTTTATGATGGAAAGGAACCCAAGGTGAACTGGTGTACTCTTCTTTATGAGGAGCTCTAGCACTAGAGGTGGAGAAGTAATTCTCTGGGATGGTTATTGTTATGAGAGAGAAACAACCCATGGTAGAAGAAAAGTAGATCATTAGGTGCATCAGTAGCTGGGTATGTGATGATAATGAACTCTTGGACTTGTCTTCGTAGGCATGAAGGAGGCTAGTCTCATAAGAAATATTAAGAAGCTGATAGCAAACTGGGGTGCAGCAATGTGGTTGTAGTTGGTACTGGTGCCAGTGACACAGGCAGGAGTATGTGAGGTGGTCCTCATCCAAGAACCCGTATTTAGAGTCTGAGAAAAAGCTTAAGGTCCAAGAGCTCTGAAAATGTCCCCATGGTTCCGTGAGTTAAAAAAAGGCAGGGGCAGGTGGGGGGAAGGAGTGCAAGTCTGAAAGCTGGCATTGCATAATATAGATAGGAAAGGTTAAAATTAATTAGGCAATCAGTAACCTTACAGGAAAGAGCCAGTACAAGATACAATTTCCTTTTGACCAAATTGGAACCAGAGATCTGGCACAGAAAATAGGTTTTAGGCAGAGACTTAAGTTAAGAGATGGGTGCTGAGGAGCATGTGGGTAGATGCAATAGATGCTTGTTTTGCTAATACAACTTAAGACGAGCGTCAGACTAACTGAAAGATTGAGCACATGTTCAGAAGAGTAACAGGATCCGTTTAAGGATTTAAATAAAAATAAGCACATCGTCAAAAG